GGGGGAATGAAGGAGCCTAGCACCCTTCAACATTTCGTGAGCAGTTCGGCGCACGATGATCGTCCTGAGCGAGGTCCCAGTAGCAAAGACGATTTGGATTCAACGCCTGAATGTGGACGTGTCTGTGGAGAGGAACAGAACACTGTGATTGAACTACTTTTCTCCACCTCTCCACAAACCCGTCCGGATTTATCCGCTTGATCCAATCCTCTGTTTGGATATAAGCCCCGCCCCCGGCCTCTTGTCGTCGGCGCCTGACTCGTCATCGTCGCGTGAACGCAACGGACAAAAAGAAAGTAAGAAGAAAGTAAAGAGAAAGTGAAAAGAAAGTAAAAGAAAGTTCATCGCCGTGTTCACTCTTGTTCACTTTAAAGCTTCTCATGTTTTTTCCTCGATCGCTAATTGATCGATTGGCTGATTGATTGATTGACTGATTGATTGATTGATTGATTGGCTAATTGATTGATTGATTGATTGATTGATTGAGCTATTGATAGATGATTCCGTAATTACTTTTGGATTACGAACTCCTTCTGGACATCCGTTAGAATTGTTGGAACGGTTTCAGAAAAAGAAAAAAAAAAACAGAATGGAATGACACAGCGAAGATGATCATGGCGGAGGAAAAAATGGTTCCAATTTTTTTTTCCCCTAGCGTAGATCGAGAGCGGAGGGAAAAAAAAAAAAAAGCTAGCATCACATCTGGTGTCAAATGGTTCAAATAGCGTTGGGCAGCATGTCCCACGCTGGTTGAATGAGATGCCATTGGATGTACTGGGGACATCAGGTATGGATGGGCCTTTTGTGCTCCTGACCCATCTCTGACCACTTTCTGCATTTGTCACTCTCTATCTACAAATAGAAATAGGTGTCTATTTTTATTTTTTTCAACTTTAGCATGAAGTCGTCATTTCTTTCTTTCTTTTCGGTTACTTGGGTGTTAGCGTAGAAAATTATTGATTGGTTATTCGGACTTATTCCTCTATATCTTTTTCATATCCTTCTCCTCCTCATCCCTCATTCCTCATTTGTGGTGTCTGATTCTTGCTAGATATGGTATCACAGGGGAGGGGCTCCACTTGCTGAGTGAGTGAAGTTGGGAGAGTCTGACCTCGAGGGCCCTGAATTTGAAGCCTTGATTTTCATTGTAATTTTTTTTTTTTTCATTAAAAAAAATGGACCATTTCTCGATTTATGCTTGTCATCCTTTTGCAAGGAACCCGAATGTTCATCACTTGCTGGTTCGTAAAGAGCCTTTTTACTTGCGCAGGGGCCATTTGCTTATGTACCCTTCTATGTATCGTTCCAATTTTAACGGATGTCCCGAAGGACTCGTAACTTTTGCTTTGGGCACTGGACCCGTAATCGAAGGGTGGATTTTTAAAAATAATAATAATAAATAAATAAATAATCATAGCTTGCAGGTCAAGTCAGTAATCAAAGGGGAGGGAAATCACGTCAATCATCAAAGGGAAAAAGAAAGGCATGGTGCCTGATAATATAGCGAACGAAAAGGAAAAAAAAAAAAAAAAAGATTGAAAAACGACTCGGATATTCTGGTGAAACTATGTCAAACGGGGGAAAAAAAAGCCATGGCGTAGAATGGCATATGTGAATCAGAAAAAAAAAGAGAAAAAAAGCGTATAGAATCCTGGGAATTCTCGTACAGAACCCGATCAGGCTTTTTTTTCTTTTTTTTTTGGAACAAAATTATCGAGCATTCAATTAATCCATCCGCCAAAA